AGAAGAATATATGCAGTGTATTATTTGTTGAAAAAATAAATAAAATAAAAATAAAAATAAAAGTGGAATGCATAAAGAAGATGCACTGTAAGTTATAAAATCAGAAAACTGGACTACCCAAGCCTTTCCCTTCTTGTGACTCACACATCAATTCAAGACAGAAGCATCTACATACATTAGCAGTTTGAACATTGTGACTACTATGATAGCTTGATAATTTAAGCATATGATATTTGTCCTTCATCAATGATAAATACTTCTACACCTGCAATAGCAAATCCATTATGCTGAGTTTGCACAAAATCTGACAGTCAGGTCATGCTGTAGTTGATAAGAATCTGACGCCACAAAAAAATGTACACATGACAGGATGTTTATGATACACTGCAATAATGGATAAAAACTGAATAAGTGACTTTTAATTTGTGGTTTTTAAGAAAGAAGTTTAAAGGAAATACAGAGACTATGATTCAAATACTATAGAAGTCAGGAAGCAACTTACAAAGGAAGAAAAAATTTATACTTAGGTTAGAACTTTTATCAAACACTATATTAAATTCTTTATCTTCTAAGAACCATATGTGTACTTTTTCAGGTATTCTTTCTAAGCAATGAAGTGAACAAAGAAATAGGCTTTGAAATTTCGTTAATACACATTATAGAGGATTTCTGTGCTTTCCTGAGAGAACAACTAATCAAATGAACTTAATCTCAGTCTGCCTTTCTATTTAATTTTATGATTCTATACTCCAATCATATTAATAATTATATATTCTATCATTACATATTCCATTAAATTATTGAAATATATATTAATAATTGGAACCTATTAAATTTTATATAACAGTTTTTATATCAATTCAAATTCTGTGCATCAGGAAATTTTTGTTAAAGTAGACCTACCCAATCCTGGCTAATTATTGGACTTCGCTTGAGTGCATTTTCTGTGCAGCTGGCTATCCATGCCTCCATCTATTCATCTGCCCATTCCTCCAGCCACTGGCTCAGGACACACTTAGTAAGTGCCTATTTTCTATCAAGAATTATTCAATCTCAGAAGATAAAATAATGAGCAAATTTTCAATATTTTGGATTTCTTACAATGTATACTTTGTTAAGAGCAACAGAACAAATGAAATGGTATCAATTATAAAATGGTATCAATAAAATGGTATCAATTAGAGTAATAAAGAATGGAAAATCATTTGAGTTCTTTAAATATTTTTGAGCAACAATCTTACTATATATCACAATATTTTGAAACATGAAATGTGGGAAAAAATATTTGAAATTTAAATGGTTTTTTTAATTTTTTAATTGAGATAAATTATACATAATGTATATTTAATATGACATTAATAGATACATTTCCTGAAAACATATTTCCATATGTCAGAGTATATAAGGTTTTTTGATTGAATAAATTTATTAAAGTTTCAGTATTAAAAAGCATGTAGAACTATTTAGTGTTTTTATACACCAATAACATTTGCCAAGAAAGTACTCACAAAAGCAGTCCCATTCATAGTAGCCCACATAAAATACCTAGGACTGAATTTAAGGAATTGACAGACCTTTACAATGAAAATGACAGAACACTAAAGAAGGAAATTGGAAGACACCAACAACAGAACAAAAAAGAAAAGATACCCCATGTGCATGGATGGGAAGAATTATATTAGCATGTCTAAGATAATTAGTGATTTATAGATTTATACATGTGATAATAATTCCCAGTGCTATGAATGAAAGTAAGAAGGGGAGACAGGACAGGAAAGGAAAGGAAAAGAAATCAGTTTTAGACCTAATTGTGGTGTATCCCACAGTGACTTAAGGATTTATACCTGTAGGGGGAAAAAGCTCTAAGTTGCATATAGATGTATAAAATAGAGTATATAAGTTTTGTGAAAAACAGATTTATAGCATAAAATTTTAGACTTTAATATGTATAATTAGAACAAACAAACAATATAACCTAAAGTAATGATGGCAAACCTACAGCATGGGTATTACTCATTTTTCTTTTAAGACAAAAGATGCTAATGTAGGAGTTGTTTTTTCTAAAGTAAAACCTCAGTGTTCAGGTACACTTGTAGTTCTGGCACTTAGAGACAAGCAAGTGGGTTTTGCATTGCAGTTTGGGCACTCTCTCTCAAAGTTTGTCAGTCTTCAGTCTCCTTAGATGGCATGTGGTGTTTGCCAAAGGAACATGAGTCAGAATCCTTGGTCCCAAACACCAGGGTTAAAGGACAAGATGCGTCCACAGCCTGATGATTTGGTCATGGGGACACTATCCTTGAAAGGGGTTAGTACCCATCTCAAGGGAGTGGGTTCAATTCATGGGACTGAATGGGTTACTGAGAGAATGGGTTGCTATAAAGAAATTCATAGGCTAAAGTCAAAAGGTGGAAAACAATACTATATTTCGCAGCACC